TGTTGGGGCACAGAAAGGTTGAGAAATCCGACGTTGACCAGTTCTTGCAGTTGTCGGGTCGACAGGCCTTGTTTGCTGACAAGCTGGCCAAGGATCAAAAGGTGAGGCCAAAGGTTGGGTGGAAAGAAAAGAGCAGTCGTAATCCTTTGGTTTATCACTTGGAAGTCTTGAAAGAAGCGGCTGACAGTGGTTCGGCTCTTGCGTTTCGTGTTGGCGGTGGCAATTTTCCCGGTGTGAGATTGCATGGTGGTGCGATGGTGCAGGTTATCTGGCGCGCGTCTTGTTCCTTCGAGTTGGTCTGCGGGTGATGTGCTTGGTGTCTTGGAAAAAGTCAACTTTGGCACACCCGGTCACTTCCCCCCTTTGTCCCTTCCCTTTGTCTTTGTTTCTGGCGGGTTTGGTGCCGTGCTGGTTGGGTCTCAGGTTCTTGTTGCATTGCGCAATGCAGCGCAAGCAGCAGGAGTCCTCGGTCAATAAACTGCGTGCCGCCCCGGTGCTTCATTGGATGAGAAGGATGAGGAGGTTAGCACGAACACTCAAAAACGTGAGGCATCGCCGATGGGACATGGTGGAAACGGATCGCCATGGGACCATCTCCCGGTGCCAAGAAAGGTTTCAACAAGGAGTTTGATACTGGTGGGGGTGGATCTTGTGGCTATTCCTTTCTTGCGGCGGCTTGTCATTTGATGCGTGGTGCTAACTTGGAAGATTTGCGTGCTGACGGGTTTGACGAGTTGGGCACGGCCATGAGAATCATGATTCTGAGCAAATCAAAAGACATCCTGATCAATACAGACCCTTCTGTGCATCAGCTTGGACTGATGATGCGAGTCGGGATGATGGTAAACCTCCCATGAATTGAGAGGAATGGCTTGACAGTTTGACGCGTCCACGACGGTGGATTTGTCAGTTGTCCTTGCGTGCTGGTGCCAAAGGTTGGCTATCCGTATCGTTGTGGTGCAGAAGAGAGTGAATGGTTATTGGGGTGATCCTATGACCATTGGTAAATCTAGCAAAAAGGAATTCCCTGTGGTCTTAGGTTTGATGAGAACAGTGAACAATGCGCGCTACGACGGGATTCCATGCCCTTTATCGTGTGGAAGATGACCTCGCTGAGTGCAGTCAGCATTGTTTGCGTGGTTGTGATCCCACGGATGCGTTTCCGGTTCCTATTTTTAGTAGTGCTTCTCGGTTGGCGGTTGGATTTTTTAGGCTGCACGTCCATAGAAACCCGCGCGTCTTTTGCTGCAAGGTGAACATGACATCTTTGTGGAACTTGGATCTAAGGTTTTTTGCAGATGGTTGTGAAATAGTAATTTACAAGCATTTTCATGTTGTTTTTTTGACAGATCATCCTGGATTCATTGTTAACATATCATTCATTCATTCATTCATTCATTCATTCATTTCCGTGTTGAAGATGACAGCGTCTGAAACTAACTTTGGGATGACAAAAAAGCATGTTTTTCATTGCGTTTCTGATTTGGCACATTAAATTTCGACATCGGGAGAGGAAATTTCATGTATTGCATGCAAGTGTCTATTATGTCATTTATATTCCACTGACTGAGCCATGAGTCGCAAATGTTTGGGATGTGGACGTTCTGGACATCGACTAGAGAGTTGCAAGACCAAAGCGGCAAGGGAAATCAGACGGTTGAGGGCAGAGCTGCAACGTCGTCATAGAGACAACGCTCGAGCGAATCCAGGTAGAAAAACTAGGAAAACAGGAAAAAGGAAACTTGCTGCTCGAAAGGCATACGCCAAGAAAAATGTGCGGAGGACATATGAGCAGAAGAGACAGGTTGATTCCAACAAAATTGGAACAGCTTTCGTGTGTGTGCAAGTGCAAGAGAAGATCCCAGAGCGTAGCATGACGTGCGTGTGAAAGTGCAAGAGAAGATCCCAGAGCGTAGCATGACGTGTGTGTGCAAGTGCAAGAGAAGATCCCAGAGCGTAGCATGTTGTGTCTGTGCAAGTGCAAAAGAAGATCCCAGAGCGTAGCATGACGTGCGTGTGAAAGTGCAAGAGAAGATCCCAGTCCATGCGTGTTCAAGTTGACATGAACGTTATTGCCCCACCCCACCCCACCACTCCCCACCCTGACTGCACAACATACATTCCATGCGTGTGCCACTTGACATGAACGTTATTGCCCCACCCCACCCCACCACTCCCCACCCTGACTGCACAACATACATTCCATGCGTGTGCCACTTGACATGAACGTTATTGCCCCACCCCACCCCACCCTTCCCCCCCCATATCACCGATATATGCATAGTGTATTGCGGGTTTCTAGGGATGTGCATGATTTTAGTAGTGCTTCTTGGACAAATCGGTTGGCGGTTGGATTCCTGAACATACGCCAGCATCCAGTCCGCGGGTTCCCCGTGCCAGTGGAGCTACTGCTGGCGTGTGCCTGCAATTCCTTCTTCGGCTGCTCTGGGGATTTTGGAAATCTTGAGGAGGTTGCCCCCATGGCTTCTCTGGGTTTGTCTCGCAAGCATGCTTTTCGGCTTCTGCTGCTTCTGGGTCTGGGCGCCACCGAGGTAAGGCTGATGTTCAAGCAGCCTTGGGTCGCTCATGAGCTGAAGATTCGGGTGCTACTGATGAGTTTGTTTGGATTTGTGGCATTTGTCATCTGGTGTTACGTGATCCTGTCCTTCAGAAGTTGGGTCAGAGAAGATCTTGGTCACAAGGGTCGCCACACTGAAGCCAGGCCTTTGCATGAACCCGTTGAAATTGTGGTTCCCGGTAATCGGGCCGGTTTCTCAGCGTGCTTGGTCTTGTGCTTGTTGCAACAAAGGCTTGCATGCGTTGGATCGGTGGACTTTGGACAAATAGGGATGCTCGCATGCGCAAAGAACATCCTAAGAAACAAAGGTCTGGCACGGTTGTTGCCAAAGCCAACTGCAGAAAATGGAAGAAAGACTCTGCGTCTTGTCCTGTTCTCACGGCTGTTGCGAAATCTCGTTCTGACCGCATGAAAAGCATGTATGGAAAGAAAAGGGGCTACAAAAAGTATGGTCGCACCTTGGTTGAAGTCCCTGTCGATTGGTCTTGTTGACCGGTTCAAAAATAAAGTGCTCGTAAAAAAGTTACTTTGTTAACTTGCACGGCATGTTGAGTGTGCGGTCGTGGGTCTTGCAAAAGCAAGACCCAACGCCCTGGTGACAACCGTGTGTTTCGTGGCAAACAGGTATCGTTGTGGAGGCGCTTGCATGGTAACCGTAGCCAAAGGTTGCTCTTGGATGCTTGGAAGGTCATTTTGGAGGAAGCGGGTGCTCGCACCTTGCCCAAAGTCGATCAAGATGACTTTGATGCCAAAGGTCATGAGTGAACAAAGTTGAAGGTGGCTAGGAGAACTTGGGGCACCAAAAGGCCCCCGTCGGCCTCTATGTTTGCTTGTGCCAAATGTCGTTTTTTTTTGTGGTCAGCGTCAAGGTTTGGATCGTCAGGCTCACAGCCGAACTGTCCATGGCCCATGGCAGGCTGTGGCTGGTAATCTTGGCGTTCGCAAACAGTTGTGTGAGGTTGGGGGTATCACGGCTGCGCAGGCTTCAAAATGGTTTCGTCAGGCCCCTGACTGGCAACGTGGCCTTACTGAAGAAGGAATTCATCCTCATCCTGGTCCCTGTTGTCCTGGGTCTGTTGGTTTGATCTCGGTCAACTGTGTTTGGCGTGGTTTCAAAGAGTGGCTTGAAACCGGCGCTGTTGACATCCTCTGTGTGCAAGAGTTGCGTGCCTCTGACGATGAAATCATGGCCTTGCGCAAAAATGCACTGAACCTTGGGTTTCACATGTATTGTCAATCGGGTCTTCCCACACGGGGTCGCTGGAACAATCGGCAACCGCGTGGTGGTGTGGCCTTGTTTCTTCACCGTACCTTGTCGCAACGCCCTGCTCATGGTGGAATCCTCTCTAGGTCCTTGTCCTTACCACGAAATGGTGTGGAGATCCTTGTGAGATCCTCTCTAAGAGGTCCTTGCATGAAGAGCTATAATCAAATCGTCTCAGAAGTGAGAACTCGGCAAAAACTGACGGGCACCCCTTAGGTGTGTAGATCTTGCAGATGCTATGTCTTAGAGGTGCTTGTATGAAAGCTCTTGTGGGAGGCTCTGGGAGGTTCTTGTATCAAGATCTTGCAAGATCCGCTCCAGCAGCAGCAGGTCCTTGTATGACGATCTTGTGAGCTTCTCTTAAGAGCCCTGGCATGAAGATCTTGTCGAGGTCTTTTACAAGTCCTTGTGAGAAGCTCTTGTGGAGAACCTAGTGAAATGCTGTCAGGGCCTTTGCATGATCTTGTACAGGTCCTTGAGAGACGCTCTTGAAGAGGTCCTGGTGACATCCTCTCGGTGTCCTTACATGATCTGGTTCAGGCCCTTGTTAGAAGATCTTGTGGAGATCCTGCTGAAATCCTCCTCAAAAGGTCAGGTCCTTGCATTAAGATATTGAAGATTCCCTGCGTTGGTGTTTGTCTGAAAGTTCTTCTGCGATGCTCATAGAAAGTTCTTGTATGAAGATCTTGTGAGCTCCTATATATAGATCTATATAGCACTGCCTGCTGCTGCAGTTGCGATCATGTCCAACCTCATCTGCCACTGTTCCATACAGCTACTGTTGCTTGTATCTGGTACATTGTAGTATATATATATAGATGCATACACACGCGCACACACACATACACACACGCATACATATATATATATATACACAGACGCATATATATATATATACATGGTTCATAAATAACTAATATGTTTTTAGACGTATTTCGTTTCTATTTATACCTATTAGGATATATATATATACATACACACCCTATATTTACTTATATATCTATCTATATGTTACACATACCTTTGTTTTTTCATATATATATATATTATACATGGATATTTCTTTGTACATGTGTACTATGGCAAAATATAAAAATATCATTGGATTCGCAAGGTTGATTGGTCATCGATGTTTCGTTTACCAGTTCCCCTCAAAAGGTGCCAGTGCCTCCATGGGAAGCAGAGAACAGCGACGTCTATGGTGTGCGTGGCAGCATAGCTGGTCTTGATTCTGAGGATGACGCCATGGCGGAAGTGGCACCAGCAGTCGAGGAAGACGTGCCTGGACCGCCGCCAGAGCTGCTGCGAGAAACTTGACGACGATGACGTGGAGGAAATCTGAGGTTTTCTGGACAGATGGGCGTGATGGTGCACATTATACATCAACACGCGATAACAGTGTCACTTTTTTTTAGGAAAAAACAAAAAATAGAAATCAATCAAGGTTTCAGAATTGCAAAAGGATGGGTTTGCAAAACTGCTGACCAGGGTTTTCAGACATCAGATCAGTTCGTGTTTTTTATCTTGATGCTGAGGACACCAGCGCCGGCAAAGGCGATGCTGATCCGGTACGTGCCACCGTTTGTGAACGACTTCGTGGCATGCCATACATGGCGCCTTCGCATCCTCAATTCATGTTCGGCAGAGGCTATGATGGGCCCTTGAAGGCTCCCAAGGTTCTGTGGAAGAGTGACAAAGCACCGAGGGAGGATCATAGTTGCCCGAAGTGGCTGACAGCCACGGAGTTTGAAGATGTGCCGGAGGCTCGGGAGGTGGATGCACACAAGTTTCTCACAAACAGTAACCATTCATTGTTAGTTTTCAGATGGATAATTTTTGTGAGTGATGCCTTTTTGTTTGCGTGTTTTCTCTTGCACACCTCTTGGTTTCATCATTTTTTCACACAGATATGACTGATATGGTAGATAGTAAATAGATTCCAATTTATAGATTTATTATTTTATGTTGTATCGACATCAGCAGATTCAGCGATGTCGCAGGTGATGGCTGCAAAGGTCAAAGAGCTCGCCAGGCTGATGATGATCTCCCGGAAAACGGTGGCATACACAGGGGCAGGCGGGGTCTCGGGACACCCAGGGGATGTTACCGTGGGTATTCGGACCATTGGTGGATGAGATCTTCTCGAGGTAAGGAAGTTGAGATCGAAGTTGATTTGTGCGTCATGTTCAATTGAGGCTTTGAAGAAAACACAAAAGACAACAACAACATGTTGGAATATGTTGGATGACTTTACGACATTCGGTCCCTTGATCTTCAGCATTTGGCTTGTGTGTCTCTGCTGCCAGGCATTTCTGCTGCAGTGATTGGCCAAGCGGCGCTGAGTGGACAGCATACCGTGGGATGGAAGGCAGATACTCGGACAGCGCCACCCACCTTCACGCATCACGCCTTGGGTTTCCTTGGCACCTGGACTTCGCGGCAATATTTTTTGTGGTGGCTTGTTTGATTTGCTTCTTCTTACCTTATTAATTCGTATCTTTAGCATTCTTTAGGGCAGATTGCTTGAGAATGAAGTGGTGGCTATGATGCTGGCTCTATTGAACTAGTGAAAGTCATGATGCCCACCTTTGGTCATTATTTGTTGATCTTGGCAGCCACGGAACGTCAAGCTATGACAAGTTTTGAAAGTCTAGGTTTCACATGCCGGGCAAACAGTCTCTCACGTTGGATAGAATATGCCTGTTTTTGTTGTTTTCCTTCGTTGACTTGCCTTTACATTTGGCCCGCTTTTTGCCTTGCGGAGGAAGAGAAGGCCTTCTGCATGGTTGGGTGCAGCAAAATCATGATGGCCTACCCCAAAAGGCAGGCTTCCCGCAGGAGCGCATCAATGAAATCCATGGCAGTTGGTATGATCCCGGCAACCCAGCAACTTCACCGGATTTGGGAGAGAGACAGGGACAGGATGGACACGAAGCCGTTGCGCCGGCGATTGATATCCGTTGAAGATATCCATTGAAGATAATATCCACTTCATTCAAGCTTGCTGGATATCTTTGTTCTGCCAATCTGCAGGTTGTCGGTTTTCTCCAGCCTCAGAGGAAAGGGGTGGATAACAAGTTGGTCAGCCATTCATATTACAAGTTTTTGCTCCAGCTGGGCTTTTCAGTTGACTTTGTTGTATCAGCGCTTTGCCTTATGCAGCTGAGGTAGTGAAATACAGCGGCTCATTACATGACAGATCCTACCCTTGGATGAGAGAAGATGCGGAAACAGCTGACCTATGCTTGGTTCTGGGTACCAGTTTGGGAGGCCTCAATGCAGATCAGGAGAGGGGCCCAAATTGGGTAGGCTCAATGTTGGTCTGAAATGCAAACGTTAGGATATGTTAGGTTTCTCATGGTGTTTCCTTAAAGATCCTTGAAGTAGGTGTCTGCATATGTGTGATTCTGTGACATTTGCAACAGATTCGATCGAGGTTGCCACCAAGACCGCTGATCGTAGCTTGCTTCCTCCAGCACCAGAACCTGGTGTGTTGGCTCCGGGTGCCTGGATCACATTACTGCGTGGTGGCCGGATCTTCAAGGGCCGTGTGGTTGCGGTCAAGGAGAAGGATATTGAGGTGGGTGTGACACTGGATGACACTGGATGTCACTGGGGAATCTGCAAAACTGGGGAAGAACACGCCAGTTTCTCACCAAGTGAAAACTGGACGACTTTTAAGGGCTCCACGTCCAAAACAAATTTTAAAACCAGGTACGTTTCAAGACCAGCACCTCAGACTCTGACTCCGAAGAAGAGGATGATCGCCTTGGGGACCCCGTTCGAATCAGCAAGAGCGAAAAGTTTGAACTACTTCCCGGCACAAGTGGTGGCCTTGGCACCGTGATCATGAACCTCCAACAAACTGCACAGGATGGGAAAATGACACTTCGCCTCTTTGGGAAGTCGGATGATATTCTGCGAATGCTACTGCCTGAGCTGGGCTTTGGTTTCTTGGCTGTTCAGACACGGAGGCACTCCAAACGAAATCCCCAGCTATCGACAGCGTTGATCTATGTTGCTATCCATTCTCATTTCCTTAATCGTTTAGAATGGTTCTGGAACCTTGCCCAGCTTCATAGTGGACACACACACACACAGAAGTCGCATAAGTTAAATAAGGTACATAAACCTAGAAAAGCCAGATCTGAGACGTTACCCAACACTGAGGCGTGAGCATCGTCCGGCCTCCGGTGTGGCCCAAGATGAGCCGTGCCCTGGTGCCCTATGATCGGAACGGCAAGCGCACAGGCCCTGGGGCCAAGCGCATGTGGTTGGATCTCAGTGCAGGTCAGGAGGTGCGCATCACCCCAGGACACAACATCCAAGGTGCTCAGCAACCTCAATACATGCACATTGGAGCCAAAAAACCCATCAAGATCAAGGGAGAAACCAGGCAACCAGCTGTTGGCAACGGCCGAGTCCTGAGTCGATGCGACAAGAGTTGCAGCTTCGTGCTGCAAATCGAAGGTGTGCAGATGAGATTAGGGATTTGGTGGTTGGAAAGTGCCATGAGGGGTGCGGTGGATGTGCTTCCAGTGGTGAACAAGGAGCCCAGCTTTGAATCCTAGTGACAGCACAGGTGCGTCACAGGGGTGGAAAATCCACCAGTGGCATCCAGCTGCAGCTCAGGGAGATGGCCCCTGCCATAGCGCAAGGGCCTGCCGTTCGCAGCAGATCTCAAAGCTTTTGAGTTGTACAGACTGCTGTAGGACACCTCAAGGCCATAAGGCCCTTTGGCAACTTCGCCGTTTCTGAACTGAAACGAACTTGTAGATGCAGATGAGATCGACCAACAAAATGAATTGCACTGCATGCATTCAGCATTCACGTATTCATTAGCTTTGCCAAGAAGATGTTTTTTTTGAAAGACAGCCACAGACAGCCTCTGTGTGTGCGCATGCTTTGCAGGTCCCAGTGGGTTCCCGTCCTTTTCTGAGCTGTGCCATCTGCAGTCCCCATCTGAGGCCGGCACCGTTGCTGGACAACCCCAGTGTAGCATTGTCTCTTGGCTGAAATCCAAAGTTTCCTGGGCTCTGTTGGATATTGGCTGAATTTCTAAACTTTTTCAACAATGGGGCTGGGCTCAAGACCAGGAACTAGCAGCTATCTCGCAGCTAACTAGCAGAGCCCAAACCTTTTGGTATCTTTGGGCCATCTCTTCAATATCTGTCACTGGCGAACATGCAAGCAGTCTCACAACCATGCACTCACCTTGCGCGTGACTAAGATGCGTCATCTCAATGTTTATGGACTTTTTCCTCTTCTTCGTGAGCTCATTGGGAGACACTTGTTTGCACTGTATGCACCTCCTAGCCTAGCTTTTTGAAAAGATTGTGTGGCTTCATCCATCGTGACATATTGTGACATTCCGGAACACATGAGACCATATCGGAACCCATTGGATTTGCAGTGGACTCTGGTTCAGGTGATTTTTGCCAGCTTGTCGGGCGACCCAGTACTTTCTATACTTTCGACTTGCACCACCCAGGACGCCTCGTCCAAATGCCAAGTTGCCATAAGATCCATAAGTGCTTAGGTTGCAGCAGACTTGTGAGATCCCTCTTTGGTATTTTTTAGCCTTTGTAGGCCTGGTTCTCAGGAGCGGTCTTTGGCTTTTTGCGGCTCTTGGTCAGTAATCAGTAATCACTACATTTTGCTTGGACTCATCTTACCTCTGTTGGACTCTTAAAATCGCATAGCAGCCCAGGCCCAAGGCTCGAAAATGATGCAAAGTGATGCAGAATCTAAACACGTCTGGCGTCTGAACCCACGAGCCAAGTGGCAGCGCTAGGTTTGGTGGCCTCTGTGAGTGCTGTGCTCTACGCTCGGATGTCTTGGATGGAGCACGCCAGTGACAGGAGCTGTTTCAGTCGAGTCCACAGGAAAACATATGAAAACTATATGAACACCATATTTTATATCCGTACTTTTTTTAACCTTTGAGACATGTACGACTTGCCCAGACACAACTGTGGTTCAGATGGAACATCTTGACATCTTGATGATTGAGGTGCTATGGATCAAACCTCAAGTATGAGATTGCCATCATATGATATGGTGATACTGTATACTTTATCCGCACTGCCTTCACTGCCTTCAACAAGTTGATTGCAAGCCCTCGACCGATTGCGTCACGTCGACATCTGGGCAGGATATGGATGCTGTATGGTTTCCTGACATTCGTGCGTGGCTCAGTTTAGATGTGATTCGGCATCAAACTGCTGGGACTTCGGACGTACACCTGCTGACCTTGTGACGTGACGTCACGGCCCGCATGGTGACGTGAAATTCGTGACATTCCTCAGGCAGTCTTTCTCCTTCAAGGAGGGACGATGGTCTGGGGTGGCTATCTTTGCTATTTGGCCCATGGCCTCAGAGGCGAACTTCAAACTGAGCCCAGACCATGAAGCCGTTAGTCGATTTGTTGCCTATTAGAAAGTTCTTCCGCTATAGAATTGCTATGGCTGCTATGGGAGCTAGAAAATGAGGCAATGGATAGCACGCAGTGTGCTGTTGCCAACAGCTTAGAATGTGCCACTCGCTGGTGAGTGCAGGTCAAACGCCCTGATTCTCGTCATAATTCCACTGATATTCCACTGTAGAAATCTGTAGAAGTGTTCTGTTTTTGCACTCTTCCTGCGTCATCATATCACTGCCAACTTATTTTGTGCTTGAAAGAATGCTCCACTCATCGCCCACTATCTGCAACTCAGGATGTTTTGAACTTCACACTGGTTTGCACAGTCTCCCTGCCTTGATTTCGACGCTCCAACTTGAGATTAGCAGTGGATACCAGCACTGAGTAAAAAGTTTTGACTTGCGCTTATCGGTACGGTAAAAAAGTGGAGCGGTGACACCAGGGTCTTCTGGCAATCATCGAATTCATCGGCTTCATTTCAGTGGCTTTCTCTGCAAGTTCAGTCTTGGAGATTCATATTTGATGATATTTGATGATATTTGTCGAATTTCATAGTTGACTCAGAGAGAAGTTGGATGAAAGCTCGGTGAGGTTTATTTTGTCTTCATCCCCTCCTTCATGATACAACTTCGAGCTGCTGCCAAGTTTACCTAGGCGTACCCACTGGCTATGTCAAAAATACGAAGGTTGAAATCGATGCATATTTGCACTCCTAGCATCTCCTAACATTTTCTTCCGAGATGGTCTTCCACTTCAGTAGGGGAGATGTGACTGGAGTTGTTTTGCATTTTATTCTTCTTTCATGACATGATTCTGGTCTTCCAGTTGTAAATTCAAGATTATTGGGGAGTCCCTCCAAACCCATTCTGTACTGACGAATGTCCTAGACCTGTGTCCCCGTAGCATCTCTCTCACCTTTGTAGCACTTTTGTATACAAAACACACAAACCATGCAAGTACAGTTATTAAACATATCTTTTTCATCTATTAGTATCTGTCATACATACACATTATGTATTTTGGAAGCCACTCATGCCTGACTAAGTACCGTCTCAACCAGAGAAGTCGCCAGCAGACACGAATGAGTTGTTTGAAAGGTCTGTCGTTGGTTTGATTTCGTGCGTTGGTCTGTCTTTGGGCCTTTGGGCAGGTTGGTTTGTGGACAACTTCTCCGTGTCGGAGCTGCTCCCTGCCAATGTGGATTTCAGCTGAGGACCTTGTGGTTTGGTGCTGGTTTCGATGATGCCAGATCAAAGATGAGAACTTCATTCCCTTTGCTCCTATTTTGATGTTTTTTCAATAATTAGCATATGTTAGCATTACATTTTGACTTCTCATTGTTTTGCGGCATGAGTCATCCGAGGTTTGGAAATACAGGGATCGCATGCAATGGATTCCTACAAGAGTGCAGGAACGCATGGTTGACCCCTTGATAAGTGACAAAGAATGCGAATGTTGGAATGTAGGAAGCCAAGCCCGTAGCGTTGCAAACATGTTTTCAAAGCAACATTCTGCCAGGATAAGAGGAATCATTTGACACCAAGAAGTCAGCACTGACTCTTGCGCTGGAACTGAGGGGCTCAGACACCTGAAGTGGCTGAAACGGCTGAAGCGGCTGAAACGGCCGAGATTGCTGTCAGACTCAGCGTGTTCAGGGTGAGATAGCTGAGCTCAGGATGAACTGAGGATGGTCTCAGGTTGAGCCTGGGCTTAGCTTCAAGAAGGAAGACCATGTGACCATATGTGACCGACATCTTGCCGCGACACTCTTTGGGGTGGCGATTCTCCTGTTTGTCAGAAGACGCCGCCTCGCGCTTCATCTCCTGATGACTTGAACAGCTGGAGCTTGGCTGCGGTCCACTGGGGAAAACATGTCATTGATGCTGTTGCTGAGTGTGTAGCCTCAGAAATTTAAACAGATAGAATCAGATCGTGAATATATCTGAGTGCATACGCTTCGGGATACTTATAGGCGATGATGTCCTTTATGTTGCGAGGCATGCTTGGAGAGGAAGCAACCTTGCCCACATGTGTTCTCGATGTTCAACGGATATCCTCGTTGCAGCTTTTAGATACCATTTGATCAAGGTACTCCCAGTCAAATGGCAGAAGACGACTAGCTGGGAACAATTTCAAAAGAGAGACTCTCATAGCCAGAGCAGCTTCTTTTCCAAGTAATACCATGGCCAATGACAAGCTGATGCTTGGATTCCCTCTTCAGAAGCCAGCATTGGCGTAGATCCAGAACTCTCTGTGAAGTGACCCTTCCAGATGCTAAATGATTTCGGATCTTCAACAGTTGCTCCACGCATCTTCAACAGTTGCTCCACGCGTTTCAAGTTTCCTTGTGGAACCGTCGCACTTCGGTCTGAGCGTCATGGAGAAAATTTGCTTGAACATAAAACGTAGATTTTGCACACTGTAGCCATGGCGCTAGCACTAGGCATGCCGCAGGCTGGACTAACGTCGTGCATTTCGTGGGTGGGAGCCAGACGGGTTTGCAACATCTATCCCTACCTGAATTTTGTTTTCTGCTTGATCTTGCTTTGCTAATACGGTGAATAGTCGTCTCAGATTTCTTTTGCGCATGGCATCAATTCAATGTTAAGTATCTTGCAACTTACACACCTGCTTGATGTTACTTTCTCACCCGAGGTGTGTGAATTGGGGTGAGGCAGTTTAGAATATAGCTTTGCTTTGTATGGTTTGCACTCTTTGCGTCACTCAATTTGGACCGCAAGCGATACAAGGGTGAACCAAGCTTAGGCAGTCTCACACAAGTCAGTTCAAGGAGGAACACATACCTTTTTGTAACTGTAGAGTGACTGTAAAGTGGAGAGCACTGCATGATGCTACATCGCTTTCAAGTGCTGCATTTTGCTTTACACTTTGCATTTCGATTTCACAAGGAAACCCTGGTCTCAAACCGGCAGCTTCAGAAGCCGAGACGCCAGTGCCAGGCCTTTGCGCCGCCGGGTCAGGACCAGTTGCAAATGGCCATGGACCCGACGGCACCTCGTGTGAAGGTCCGAGCAGCTGCAAGACGTTGTGCTTGTGATAGTTGGTGATTGGTTGTGATGACATGTGATGACTACGACCACCATTTAAAATTCGGCGAAACCAGGGATTACATTCTAAGTCACCGGGGCTCTGCATGTCATAGAGGAATGCTTGATTCCTTGCCGAAAGGTTATATCTCCTGGGTGTGAACTACGCCTCATCGTAGATGATGACAAACACGCTCGGGCCAGGACCCATGGTGACGGGAAGATTAACACTTGTTTTGTTGGGCTTTCCTGCGGCTGCAAACACAGCTAGAGATCCCAAGGCCGAATGTAACTGAACAAACAAAACCATTTGCAACTGCGTTGTGCGTCACATGAGCTACATGTATGAGGATGTCTGCGCCAGCACGACCAAGATGACCTGAAGTAAGTGTGTGTGTGTAAAAACAGGATGAAGATCCGCGAAAGAGCTGTGCATCATCTTAATTATTAATGCAAAGTCCACTGCATGTTTGTTCACCACTCCAAAAGAATTTTTGAGTTTCCCTTTCTTGGTGGCCGTCAAGCTTTTTGCTGCAAGTCTTGAGCCAAAGATATCTGAGCCTACTGTAGCCTGTAGCCTACTGTAGCTTACTGATCTGGTGACTTCTGAGCTTCAAGGAGCAGATTTGGCTCATATTTCCTGGTCATTTGTGGCAGAAAGCCATGAGTCGAATAGAGATTCCATGGAGAGCACTGTTTCTTTCCATTGCCCAGGTGAAGTTAATACCTCAGCAATTTCCTACTTCCCGACCTGGTCAGCCAGTTCTTGCCTCAGTTCGCGGAACAGTACAGCACTCCTCGCCACTTTGGGAAGGGCAGGGCAGGGGTCCGTTTCCAGCACTTTAAAACTTTTAAGGTCTTCGGGTGATGCTGTGGGTGCTATTTGTAACTTCTCCAGTGCTGATAGTGGTATTCCCTGTATTTGAATGTATTTGAGACATTTTGAAATTCACTTTGACTGAATTGTCCACGGAATTGTCCACGGAATTGTCCACTAGTGTTTCACACGCAGTTCCTGGAGGCAGAGGCGAGCGCGGAGATTTTTGGGGCAGAAATGGTGGCTGGGCAGGTCCGATGCTCATAGTGGTCCACAGCTTGTGAGTCGGGCAATTCACCTCCAGGATCCGTCAATTTCAGCGAAAGGTAGTGGTTAGACTTCAAACAGCGTATTTGAATGTGCTTTATAGATTGTATGATATATGATATATGTATGTCTGTAGATAGATAGATGGATGGATGGATGGATAGATAGACAGATAGACAGATAGATAGACAGATAGATAGATAGAAAGATAGATGGAGTTCTTGAGAAAATAATGTGATTTGAACCCGCCCGCAGGACTTTCACGTTTGAACGTCTCTGACAAGCAGTTCCTTCTCTTCAACACTTCCAAATGAGATATTATTCACGCGTTCGCATATTCACATACGTTAATCAATGAAGTCAGACCTTGAACCTCTATAGGATTCAGATGTTTTTCCAAGGGCGTTTGGCGAGGGAAACGCCTCATTTCTGAAGGCGGAAACCAGCTCATTTTAGAATGCGGAAACTAGCTCGTTTTGGAACGCGTGCTTGGCATGGTTTTTCCAAGGTTTTCTGCTTTCCTGGCTCCCTTCCCGTTTTCCTGGTTTCCTGGTTTCCTTTCCACGGTTTTCCGCTTTCCCGTTTTCCTGGTTTCCTGGATTCCCGGTCTCCTTTTCCCAGTTTCCTGATTTCCTGGTTTTCCTGGTTTCCTGGTCTCCTGGTTTCCCGAGGTTCTAGTTTCCGGGTGTCGTAGTTTCCTGGTTTCCTGGTTTCTGATTTCGCAGTGTCTTGGTTTCCTTTTTTCCCCAAACAGTGTGTCCACACTGGGGGGTTCTTACAGTAGGTGCAAAGGCCGGTGCTTGATCAGGGTGCCCACTCTGGGCGCCGGCATTTTTCCTGTAAATTTCGGTATAAAGTGGCTCTTGTGAAATGTTGAGATGCATTTCGATTGCGCAGGCTTGCACAAAGTGTGTGTTTGTGTTCTGGGCTGACTCTGGGGCGCGGCATTTTTCCTGTAAATTTCCGTATAAAGCGGCTCTTGTGACATGTTGAAGTGCATTTCGACTGCGCAGGCTCGCACAAAGCATGGTCCTAGGTTCTGGGCCGTAGCATTTTTCCTGTAAATTTCCGTATAAAGTGGCTCTTGCCGGCGTTTTTGTTTGTCTGTATTTTCAGAAATGATCCGGTTTTCGTGTTCTGATTTGAGCCAGTTCTTGTGTTCAGAAATGATCCGGCTTTTGTGTTCCAAAATGAGCCGTGTACCGTTTGGGCGAGCTATACAAGCTGTGACAAGCTGTGCACACATATGCTCCTTCGTGCCTTTACTCACTCCGTGGTACCTATCGCTGCTGATCATGGAGCAATCTCGGTTGCTAGGCCCACTGTTTCCATTCATTCCCACCACATGTTCGTTTGGTGAACACTGATTTCTTACCATGTCATCCACGGCCTTGTTGCAACGTTCAAATTTGAATCTCACCGAAACGGTTTGTTCGTCCCCAAAATAATGATTGTGTCCTAGACTTTCGTCGCCTGTGAAAGTTGCAACTTGCACTGCTTGCGCTGAGAGGACTATCCTCTGCTTGGTGGCACTCGCACGGCCATTTTCTCATGGCATGGCTGCAAAGTCCAGGTGGGGCTCAATGATTTGAACAAATCAATGGAAGATTTGCCAAAAGAGAAATGGAGGGTATTAGAACTATGTGCTTTCAAGCCTTGGTTTCCGCACCTCATGCTTTAAAAGGTCACCTAGCTTGACCAA